ACATAAAAGAAGATATTTGGAAGAACATTTATAATCTTCTGAAGTTAAGATTTTCAGTCAATAATGAGTTACATTTTGATCTGTTTGTTGTATGACTTCAAGCAACTTGGAATACACTTTAAAAAATGAATGTTCTTTGAAGTCCTATGAAGAACCTTTTACATCCATGAAACATTTCAACTGTACAGAAGGTTATTTACTGTATAGTGGAAAAGGGTTTGTAGTAAAAAGGGTAGATAATTCAAATGTTCTTTAAACTAAAAAATGGTTATTTTTAAGAACTGTTCACTGAAAGATTCTTTGGGGAACCAAAAATGCTGCTTCTATAGCATCCCTGCACAAAAACCCATTGGGAACCTTTATTGTTAAGAGTGTAGAGTGCACGATTCATATCAACCACATTTGCTGCTTTTTTTTTTAAACCCATTTACCCCACTCAGATTTCGCATTGAGTTCAAGTTGGTCACACAAATACGGAAGGCTTCTTGGTTAGAGTGCAACAGTATCTGTCCACTTTTTCAGCTGCATTGGTTTTTCCATTCATTATTCCAATAGGGATTTAAAAAAAAAACATGAACCAAACCAACCAGCTTCAAGGTGAATCACAACATTACAAACTTTGATTCAAAGCAAAAAAGTATTTGAAAATCTGTCAAAAAGACAAAGACTTAAGACTGTGTGGGAAATGTGCTTTGCCATTGACATTATCGAATCAAAAAAGAAATAAATACTATCGATTTAAAGTTGTTGATGATGCATAGAAACAATACATTTTAAGTATATTTAAGTATTTTGAGAGCGTAGGGAGACCATACCGATTATGTCATTTCCAGTGCTTAATGGAAGAGTTCACTTCAAGCTGATTTGCTGCTGCAGCTCTCTGATTGGTGGAGAGTCTCTGCAGAATCATGGGTAATGTAGTTTTTCTGCAGGAACTCACTCTTTGCAAAGACCCGCCCCCCCGGCGTTACTGTTGCTACGTTCGACAAGCCATGGTGCTCTCACGCCACACATCATGTTCTCACGCAGTGAAAAATACATTGCGGAGTAACACGGCAACAGACAAACAGAGCAGGTTACTTTTGGTATGAAACAAAGTGTCAGATTTCAAATTTTGCCATTTTGTGTGGGAAATTCAAACAATAAATACTGTCTTGTGGCTCTTTAATGTGTGTGACAGATTGCTGAAAGTATCTGGTTTCAAACGCGGAAAGACTTCAATGCACACCATTTTTCAAGTTCAAGTCCACCAGTGTTAATGTACCGTCCTGTCTGGTTTGTTTGTCGAAAAAAATGGCAGATTCAGCTTTATGACTGGTCAGATCGCCTGTCAATTAAACTCCTTGCGAAGGGTCAATTCTGCTGTTAAACATGATTATTTATAAAAATAGGTTGAAATAATGTGAACTGGTGGCTTCAACAAAACTTCAGATCTCACGGTAGACCTGTCTTTAAAGGTTTTTAAAGGGGACATCGGATGCAAAATTCACTTTTACATGGTGTTTGCATATAAATGTGTCTTAGCAGTGTGTGAACACAACCCCTCCACAATGATAAAAATCCATTCACTCCTTTTTTTTAATCCCCAAAAAACCTAAACAGTCTCAATTATCAAACTGTTTTGACTTTCTGAGCAATATGACATCATACTGCTCAGGCCCCGCCCACGACTGCTGACGGACTGTAATATTAGCATATCTCCACCCTCAGCTAGTTGTACTCTGTCCCGTAAGCAATGCAGGTGTTTTGTAGTTGGATGGGAGTCTTCATTTTCGACATCAGACTACTGAGGACGCAGTGGATGAGTTTAGTTTTTGATGGTAATGCGCCACCGAATACACACGTAGCTCATTATGATTTAAAGAGACATGCACCAAAACGGGTCGCTGTGAGCAGAGCTGTTTTTGACAAGCTAAAAAGAGTGTTGTTTTACACAACCACTGAGGAATTTTAACCAAAGTATGTTACAGACATTTTATGAAGACCTTAAAGAATCGTACCAACTTGTGGAAAATGGGCATTCGATGTCCCCTTTAAGTCACTGACTAAATTCGATTGATAAAATGTGCTCAGGCCCCGCCCACGACTGCTGACGGACTGTAATATTAGCATATCTCCACCCTCAGCTAGTTGTACTCTGTCCCGTAAGCAATGCAGGTGTTTTGTAGTTGGATGGGAGTCTTCATTTTCGACATCAGACTACTGAGGACGCAGTGGATGAGTTTAGTTTTTGATGGTAATGCGCCACCGAATACACACGTAGCTCATTATGATTTAAAGAGACATGCACCAAAACGGGTCGCTGTGAGCAGAGCTGTTTTTGACAAGCTAAAAAGAGTGTTGTTTTACACAACCACTGAGGAATTTTAACCAAAGTATGTTACAGACATTTCATGAAGACCTTAAAGAATCGTACCAACTTGTGGAAAATGGGCATTCGATGTCCCCTTTAAGTCACTGACTAAATTCGATTGATAAAATGTTCCTATGAGAGTGGTTCCCAAACCTGTCCTGGAGGACCCCCTGCCCTGCACATTTTGTATGTCTCCCTAATCAGACACACCCAATTTAGTTCTTGCAGTCTCTACTAAAGAGCTGATGAGTGGAATCTGGTGTGTTAGATAAGGGAGACATACAAAAGGTGCAGGGCAGGGGGGCCTCCAGGACAGGTTTGGGAAGCACTATGAAGACAATGAATGCTGTTTTTCCATTTGGAACCCAACTGTTGCATTCTATTGACAACAGACCTTTTTGACCGTGACCTTTAGCTAAAATGTTAATTTCTTGGGTGCAAAACACATTTTAGGCATCTTTTGGTATTTCAAAAGGTCCCAAAAAATGAATTTGATTTTCTTCTGGACGACAAATAAATCGTTTTTAGGAATCATAAACTAGAAGCAGTAAGTGACTATCTAAGGAAAGATGGCGAGGAGACTGGATTTTAATTCTAATGTTTATTTCATTTAAATAAAACACAAGGTTCCTACTATTGAAATAAAGAAACAATTAGCCGCTTGAGGCTAAAAGTTGAAGAAAGTGTGGCTTTTGATACTGTCATTTGTATACAGTCACCAGACACGGACAGTGGGCCTATAACCTTATGCAAGCTCAGCAGCCTGTGCCACAGAAAAACAATTCAAGCTACAAAGCTTTAAACATCATTTTCTTGACATGAGAAATGGCAAAGAGTTATCACACTCTAAAAATGCTGGGTTGTTTCAGCTGTTGTGCTACATTTTTTTATAAAATTTTTAACCCAAAGGTTGGGTTAGTCCATATTTGACCCAAAGTTGGGTTGAAACAACCCAGCATGTTTTGTTCTTTCGTCCTCAGTCAATATTTTCCCCTTCAAATCAAATGACGTCCTCCATCCACCTCCATTCACACACATATCTGGTTTGTACAGTCACAACAACAAAATGCTTTATTGCCATTGTGTGTGAACAGACAGCAGGTCAGCCTGACATATTCACCTGATCTCCAAACACATCTCCGCAATGTGCTCTTACACTGCAGTGCTGGTTTTGATAGCAGTCGATGGCTTTAGGGCTGTGTGCCGATTTGGCTCCAGAATCACACATGCATGGAATGGAGATGAAATGGTGCAGATATTCAAGCATTGAAAACAAAAGAGTATGATTATTGCAAACCCTTCACTTACCAAAATGAGCTTCATCTTTGACTAAACTACTTGGTCTTTTGATATAAGGTGCAGCATATAAGGTTGCATTGTTACTTTTAAAGCCTTTCATATTAATCACGTAACATTATGTTGGGTGTCAATGGTTGATCTTATGAGATGAATAAATATCTTTCTATTGATTGCAAAAGCACAATTCATTATTGTTTGACCATATACAAATTCCGCTTTGAGACAAGGAAAGCCTTCACTGACAAATCATGCTTGCCTGTCATTTGTTCCTGGACAAAAAGTTGATTATTATTATTATTCATAATCAGCGAAATCATAAATGCATGCTTTTGTCATCACAACAGCCAACATAAACATGTATGGTAATGTGAACGGATACACTCTCTTTGGGCATAGATTGATTTAAATATTTGAGGCTTGGTATTTTATGACTGAAATATATCCTGCTTGTATAAAACCATGCTTTTAGGTGAATCTCATAAAAGCGGTCAATTTCATATTTCTCCACCTATGCTGCTGCAATTAGCTCTACCAGCTTATTTTATTAAATTTGTTGAGATAACTTAAATATCTAACTATAACTAAGGTTAACTCAACATAACTTATAATTTGAAGTCGAGCATTAACACTTACGTTTTTAAGTCGAAACAACATATTCGGTTGAATTTTAATTTGTGATTGCTAATCACAGCGATCATTTTTACAGTGCTTTATGCCCATTAGATATTTTGCATTGTGACATTTTTGACGATTAAGTTCATGAATCCTCAAATTTACAATACCGTAATGTGGAAACTATTATTTTCATTCATGTAATATGACTTTTTGGGTCATTGATTATTTATACATTGTTTATTTAGTGCATTTGTTGTAATGATTTGAATTCATATTATTTAATACAATTACAATTCATTAAGAAAATGTCACAATGCCAAAAAAGAGGCTATTTTAATGGCCCTAAAAATACCCTTCATTCCATTACGCAAAACTGATGTTTTTTTGTGTTTTTTTTAGCCAGACATTTCTTTGTGAAGTTCACCTTTTAATTTTAGACTCATCACCAGCAGCATGTCCTAGCAGCATGTTAAATAAAAAATAAATAAATTGAGAAGATTTTGAGAATAAAGTTGTAATGTCACAATAATACTAGAAATGTAGAAATTAAATCTTTAAAAGTAATAGATGTAAATAAATAGGAATCATTCTTCAAATGGGATATACCAAATACAGAGATGATCAGTATAATAATCTCAAAATGTTATTCTTGAAACGTATTTCATTATTCATATAAAAGGCTTATTATGGTATTTCTAAAAAAAAAAAAAAAAGTTACAATCTTATCAAAATCTTTTTTTTTTTTTAACATGCCACTAGAAAATGCATCTCCTCAAACCTGTGATCTGGGCTGTTGTTTGTCATATTAAATTTGAATGCATGTCATATAGTGACTGTGATGATACACGTCTGATTCATGAGGGTTGTCTAATGTTTTCAACACACAGTGTGTCCCACCCAATCAAACCCATCATCCGGACAGCACCTCCCAACATGGTATGTGATGGAGCGCAGAGAATGATGGGACGGATCTGAATGTGAATTTTACCTGAGTTTAAACCGCGAAGCGAGGCTGCAGGTGGACACCGTGCAACAAAGTGTGTGTTTTTCTCTTTCTGCACCATCGTCAGAAGCTAGGAAAGCTGGACAGTCGTCAACCCATGGAGTACAGCTCATTTCCCAAAATGTACATAACACAGCAATACACGGTTTTAAATTCAAACAAGCTTTTTTTTATATTTATAGATTCATATATAGATATATTGATAGAGAGAGAGCTTATTCATACTGTGGATGTTGAAAGAGAACACGACACATAATTTAATGTTAAACATACGATCAGTTTAAAATGCATGCCCTGACACTATTAAGACCTTCCTGAAAAGGTCAGTCATCTTTCTCCTTGTAAATCGGCGGTGTTTTCGAAGGCGACACTTCGCTTTGCGCTGTCTGATTATAGTGCTCATACAAAAGCCACTTTGCTTAAATTTTAAGCACACACGAAAGCTGCATTTGAAAACAGCTGTGCAGTTGCTCGGGATCAACGCGGAATCAAATCAGACGGAAAAGCACCTGCGAACGCATCCACATCCTACACTAAAAAAGCAAAATGGGAATTTCTGGAATGTGACTGAACTTGTCAATAGGCAAATTTAATAAATAAGATTTCCGTATGAGACTCTCACTCATTTATCAAGATAACAGTGAAGCCATTTGAATTTTTGATTTGCATATTCTAAGGTCCTTTTCCCAAAACGCATCCTTCAGACGCCGTTCCCATCCAGACACCGAAGCGTGGCATTGCCACATACTCGAACCCCTCGGCTGCGTTTGCATTTACTATTCTCGTTCGGGCCACAGTTGCTATGCCATGCAGATAGTAAAGATTCAGCACAAAGGTGGGGTCCATCAGAGAGAGAAGAGGAAGTTTGGGGCGGGGATCGAACGGTCCTCTACATGGGTGCGGAGCGGCGCGACCGAGACCAGCTCTGCCACGTTTAGCTGACTTCAAAGTTCTGAGGCTGGGAGGCCGATTCTGAGGACGCCTCCTGCTGTTGGGAGGGAGATTCGGGAGGGTCGTCTGTGCTCGTGCTGGTGGAGACCTGAGTGGGCATGTGATGGTGTGGGGCGAGGGGGTGTGAGCCGCTGCTGGGGCCGGCTTGGCTTTCCTCTTTCTGCTGGAGAAGGGATCCCGGGAGCTTGACAGGGCAGAACGCAGAGCCGGTGGGGATGAAGTTTACCTTGTTTTTGTCAGGGCAGGAAAAAAGGGGGACGGTGGCTGACTGTCTGGACCTGAGAAAGAGAGAAAAGCGATTTAGGAGAAAGTTCCAAATGGGATACTAATGTACACAGTATGTACCACAGCTCAGCATGAAAGGGGACATCGGATGCCCATTTTCCAAGTTGGTATGATTCTTTAGGGTCTTCATGAAATGTCTGTAACATACTTTGGTTAAAATTGCTCAATGGTCGTGTAAAACAACACCCTTTTTACCTTGTCAAAAACAGCTCTGCTCACAGCGACCCGTTTCGGTGCATGTCTCTTTAAATGATAATGAGTTGCTGCTCACCCCACCCCTCTCTTCTGTGGGGCGTGTCGACACAAGACATGTGAATTGATGCCTTGGACTCTGTATATGGCTCAAAGGTGGTCTTATTTAAATAGCTAGCTATCTATGTAGGAACCGGCTGCAAATTGAAACATCTCACTGGATGACAGAGTTTCAGACTCAGACAGCCCATAACAAACTGGCTGTGTGTTTTCTTTTTCAGCTTTTCTGAGCCGGCAGACACTCCAGAAACCTAACTAAAGCTAAAAAAGTTCTGATGTCCCCTTTAAAATGACCTGACGCCCCAGGGCCAGTGGGACAGTTTCAGGCCAGTCACAGGAACTATCCTTTGCCCTGTTAAACCATTGTTGAGTTGTCACAATATCTGATGATCCAATATAAGCGGTTTTGTGATTGCCAAATTTGGATATTTGTGTTTTATTGAACACTGTTGCTGTGTATTATTTAACTCACTGTTGGGTCCTAACTTTTGGGTCACACTTGTACACTTAGGTGGTCAAAAAGATGTCTGTATAGCTCTCTGTATAAACATATATACGTTTACACAGGGCTGTGTGTGTCTGTTTTGCACTCTTGATATTTTAGTGTTTAAACCCTTGATTGTTGTGTGCCTTTTCTGTACCTGATTTGTGATCTGATTTTTTTTTGGTGTGTATTTCCCATTCATTTCCAATGGTGATCATTTCTGACCATGTATAGTAAAATGTGACTATTTATTAAAGACCATTTAGCCTTTTCAAATAATTTCCATTGTTTTCTGTGTTCACATAGCAAGCATGTCATAACAAAAGTGTCAGAGGAGCAATATAGGGTTAATATAATTGTGATTAAATATAATTAAAAGTATTTTTTTTTACTTCATTATTTGTTTTACTTACTTTAATGTCTTATATATACAGGGCCCATGCAAGTCTAACCAGGGCAAATAAAGGTGTATGGTGTAGTGTGACGTATATATACATATATAAGGGGTGTGTGTGTATTTGCCACCCTTAATTTTTTTATTTAAACAACATATTTTATGTGCCATATATTCTCAAAAAATGTGCAACAATAAACATGCTTCACTGATGTTTACATCAGCGTGTTCTGTTCACATACCAGAAACAAATATGGATTCATTTTTCACATTTTAAATCCAATTCCATGTAAAAATTTTGTTTTGACAATTCATGACATGATGATTGATATTATGGTTTATATATCACTCTCAAAGTAGCAGGTCATCAGAGTATTCAACGCATACCCAACATTTGCATGCTGCGCACATTCCACATCCTGCATGCTAACAGTAGCAGAATGGCAGTGTGCTATTTTAGGCTCACTAGAGAAATCAAACTCTACTCACGTCATTTCCTCAAACACTCTGATCTTCTCACAGCCCTCTGGAGGCTCCCGTTTGAACATGTAGCTGTTGTTGGGTTTTGGGGACGAGGCGAATTTAGGCAGAGGAGAACTGCTGCCGCTGTCTGCAGGACAGAATTACAAATATCCAATAACTCTGGATTAATATCAGACACCTCTCATGATATAATACTGCAAACTATATACATATGATATGAACTTGTAATTGCTTCTTGGCCAACAATCTGGCTTGACCACCAGTGTGCAGGTCTGACCTTTGTCTCTGTCGTCCAGCATCTCGTCGGTGGAGTAAGGGCTGCCGTCATGTGAGCGGGGCGGGCAAGCGGGCGAGGGGCAGGGCGACAGGCTCGAGCAGCTACTGGAGCGTCCAGGCACTGATGGCGTCTGAGTGTCTATACCACGACTGCTGCTGCTGCGCTGCTGAGGAGGAAACGGAGCCCGTCGCCCGTCAGGAACCTCCAGCGCCTGAGAGCCAGTCAGAGAGAGACTTTGAACAATCAAGCTTTATGGACAACAGTAGAATAAAATACAGCACAAAATCTGAAGTCTGTACACGTTTCAACATAGTTAGACTACTGATCAATAGTTTGGGGTCAGTGCATTAAACTGATCAAAAGTAACAGTAAAGACAGTTATGTTTGAAAAGATTTATATTTCAAATAAATGCTGTTTGTTTGAACTTTCTATTCATCAAAGAATCCAGAAAAAAAAATCTAGCACAGTTTCCACAAAAATATGAATCAGCACAATTGTTTTCAACATTGATAATAATAAGAACATTTCTTGAGCAGCAAATCAGAATATCAGAATGATTTCTGAAGGATCATGTGACACTGAAGACTGGAGTAATGATGCTGAAAATTCAGCTTTGAATCACAGAAATAAATCACATTTGACAATATATTAAAATAGAAAACAGTTATTTTAAATTGTAATAATATTTCACAATATTACAGTTTTTATTGTATTTTTTATCAATTAAATGGAGCATTGAAGAGACCATCAAAAACAAAACAAAAAAATCTTATGATTAAATTTTTTTTTGTTTTTTTTTGACAAAAGTAAATTTTTACAGGTACTGCACACAGTATAATAATATAAAACATCTGTAATTTTTCCCCCCACTCAATGACAGGCATTTTTTTTTTCATGCCTTTTTTGTCTTAGGAGTGTGTGTGTATGTACCTTGAGCTCCTCTTTCTCTCCGTTGTCTTTGATGAAAACTTTCTCCAGCTCATGGTTGATGCCCTCCATGCTGCTGGGAACCCTTGAGATGGAGGGCTTTGGCACTGTGATGTTGGACAGCGGCATCTGTGCTGACTTCGACATGGATGACTGAACATGGAGACGACATAAATTTACATTGAATAACTGCACAGAATTAGCTGGATGTATTTAGTGCATACACTGATGTAATGTGTGTGAGTGTGCGGACCGGAGCTGTGCTGATGGTAGTGGCAGTAATGGTGGTGGTGCTGCTGCAGCAGGGGAGGGGGGAAAGATGCTCTTTACTGTCCTTACACTGCCGGCCTCCGCTCTGCTTACTGCACTGCAGCTGCAGCCTGAGCTTAGCAATCTGAAAGCCAAAGACAGAGAAACATTAATTATAAAGTGAAGGACAGAGGAGGCAACAAAGATATAAATAAAAAAAATTAATATTATAGTAAAATAAATCCAAATATGCTTGTATAAATGAGACAATGGCTAGGAGAGAGAGAGGTACAGAATTGGAGCTGGGACTCGAACTCAGGTGACCTGAGGTGTGCTAAATGTCAGAGTGCTGCCCATGAGACTATAAGACACAGCCAAAATAAAATAAAAATAAAAAAAATAAACAAAACAAAAAGAAATAAATAAAATAACTGACAAAAAAAAGAAAAGAAAAAAATCTAAATAAAAATAAAATAAAAACTAAATAAAATAAAATAATAAAACAAAACAAAACATATAAAAGTAATAAATAAAAATAAAAGAGACAGCTTTGTTAAATGCCAGAGTGTTACCCGTAATCAATATAATCATATATGGCACTGCCAAAATAATAAAATACATAAAAATAAATAAATAAAATACAAAATTAAAAAAATAAAATAAATAAAAATAAAGTAACCTAACAAAAACAAAAATAAATAAAATAAATATATAACAAAAACAACAACAATAACAAAAAAACTAAATAAAAAACAAAATAAAACATATAAAAGTAATAAAACTAAAAGGGGCAGCTTTGCTACATGCCAGTGTTGACTATATAGTGCAGACAAAATAAAATAAATAAAATAACCTAAAAAAATAAAAGAAAATACTAAATAAAATAAAAAAATACAGTAACCTAAAAACTAAATAAAATAAGTAAACAAATAAATAAAATAAAAGGGGCAGCTTAAATGTCAGAGTGTTGCCCCTAAGACTATATAGTGCAGACAAAATAGAAAAAAAAGAAAAGCAAAGAAACAACAAAAGATAAATAAATAAAAATACAATAAATACAATACAATACCTTGAATTGACTTGAGTGCTTGCTGTAATTCTGTATGGCCACAAGGGGTCAGTACAAAGCAGGCAGCCATGTGAGAAGGCTCACTGATTAAAAAAGGCAAATGTATTGCCTGATCTTTTTCTACAATGGTTACCGATTGTAGAACGAATGACAAGACAAATTCTGTTAAATCTACAACAAAAACTGGATACTGATATTTAACCCTCATTCCCCAATGTCTCACTGTGGCCCACTGCCTTTTCCAACTGGCTTGATCTCTCAATGTTTACCTTTGAGATTTATCTGCAGTAAATCACAGCCTTTACTCTGTGCATATTAAGACAACGGAGTTAGTCTAGACTTGTGCGTTCCTACTGAAAATACAATTAGCTGACGGCTTTTTCTTCACATGGATGTTTGTCTTGATAATGTTATAGAGCACTGAACTACCTCGGCCTTTCCCTCCACCTCAGTTTACATTACAGATGCCAATCTAGAACCTGTGAAGACATGCAAATTAGTTGCAAATGACTCGTACGTCGTTTCCTTCAACCAGACAGCAAAAATCCTGAAACAAATCTGTGTTTGAAAAGTACAGTGAGGAAAGAGAAGTGTTTAGTGGAGATGCCGGCCTTCGCACAAACTGAAATGACACAGTATATGCTCATCCTGAATGTGCTCTCCTGTAGATCCCTGCTAAGTATGTCAATATACACAACCTAAATCCACTTAAGAGGTGTAAGGGCTTATACGCCACTTAGTGGAAGCACTTGACGTGAACCTGGATAAAAATGTGGATACTGAGGACATGAACTTCCCATATGTAGGGAAGGAAAGCAGGCCTTTTCTTGGAAAATCTCCCGAATGGGAAACAGTGAGATGATTCAGGCCTTGCAGAATGAGCTCGCTGTGAGGAGCACTTCTTAGTCTCTATTATGACTCTCTAATATGGACACAATCCTGTGGCTGGAAATTATGAGCAAGCAGGCAAAATGACCTTTTCACATAAAAGTTTAGTAAGAAAAAATCAAGAATTATAAATAAGGTTGCATACACAAAAAAATGGTTACTTTGGTGTCCCAAGAATTTAAAAGTTTTAGAGGTACAAAAATCACACTTTTTGTTCCGATGCACATTAGATATGTTTAATAAATAGCATTAAATTAAGATAGCATATAAACTACTTAGTATTAAACACATACAGTGTATCCCGCCTTAAAATGAAGAAGCTGTATGCAAAAATGTAAATAAAATAAAAGAATAATGATAAAAAATATTTGAAAAATCAATTGATAGATTGATCTTACTGGCAATACTTTTGGTGATGAAACTGACCGCTCTCTTTTATAATCTATTTGGGTAACATATCAGCTCATTTGATAGTGAAAGCTAAGTATCTATTAAAGACACTATTAGAAGCCAGCAAGAAGGCTGTAATACGAAAATAAGACTGAAAGTAGTCTACGTACAAACAAATATTTCCAATACTGGGAAAAATGGATGGTGTTTATGACTTCACGACACTGACCACTGTTTGATCTGACACATATTTCCCTCAATATAACTTATGGATGGATGCACAGGTGTCCAAACCATTGTTCTATCGAGTTATGTTGTTTTTGCATGTTTATATATTTACACACACACACACACACACACAGGTTTGTTTTTGTGAAAAGTGGGGCGTAATGGTTTTTATACTGTACAGACCGTATATTCTATTGCCCTACACCAACCCTACCCCTAAACCTACCCCTCACAGGAAACTTTGTGCTATTTCAGATTTTCAATATACTCCATTCTGTGTGATTTATAAGCGTTTTGAAAAGTGGGGACATGAGGTAATGTCCTGAAAAGTCACCTTCTCCTTCTAATAACT